ATTTTAAATTAAATCATTATTAATCAGATCAGACCAGATCAGATCCAATCAGATCAGATCAGATCCAATCAGATCAGATCAGATCCAATCAGATCAGATCAGATCCAATCAGATCAGATCAGATCCAATTAGATCAGGTCAGATCCAGACAGATCAGATCAGATTTAATCAGATCAGATCAGATCAGATCCAATCAGATCAGATCAGACCAGATCAGAACTTATTAGAATCAGATCAGATCAGAAAAAATAAGTTGAACGGAACGGAGCCTCAAAATCCGCTGAGTGGAGGGGGAGGCGCCGTCCCTGATTGGGACTAATTTTGGTCCCAGTCGGGGTACACTTTTTGGTCCAACTTTCTCCGAATTGAATTCCGTTTTTACCATTGCGATCGGACAGTTAAACTCTATCCAACTATATAATTTTTATACTGTATTTATTTGTAATACTTTTTCCGACATCATATTTTTGGGTATTTGACTTTGAGAGAGTCAAAATTGGTTTAATTGACCTTTCTCATAAAAGGTTCTCTCATTTAATTCATATCAATTATTCTCATGATTTATTTTAACAAATCATTTCCATATTTACATTCTAAACAAATTCTTTATTTACTATTGATTTGGGTCTGTACTCAGGTTCCCAATCAAGACCACACAAATAGTCCACATATTGGATTTATCTCAATGAGACTTATCCAGATTTTGATATTGGATGTCAAAACACATTTCGTATCGGCCCAAAGCCCAACAATAATTTATTTTATCAAAACAAATTTGATTAATTGATTATTTATTCATTAATAATTCTAGGGTATGTTTTGGGGCGTTACATTTCTCCCCCTTAAAAGGAATTTCGTCTTTGAAATTCTTCTTAGGTTCAACGTTCAACGTTTCGTAATGATCTCACTGATCATGACCGTTTCATATTCACATGGTTATGTCGCTATCTTACGAATACGTATTTTCAAGTCATTGATGTCACCAAACTCGTTCAATCTTCGAGAGATTAACAATTTTCGATTAAGCAAGGTCTTCACTGATCCTTTGGTATTGATGACAAAAGTTCCTTCATAGTGTATAGTATTGCATACTTGACATATTTATACATAACTTCGTTCAGTTACGAGTCTTATCTGTACGTCCTTGGTTAACAGGATCGTTTGAAAATTTCTTCATAACTCTTAAAAGGTCTACAATAAGCACAGTTGGAGGTTCTTTCAATTCATACGTAGTAACGTAGTCTTTCAAATTACTCAAGGAGTCGTTGTCTTTAGGGCAATAGCCATTTTGACTTTTCATCTTGGATTTGAACGTATTTCAGTACAGCGAATCTAACTGTTCATGAGTCTCAATATGTCATATCGTAAGCAAACTATAGCTTTAATGAGCACGTCCTCGTCTGTAGGTAAATCAAATCCATCTTTGCTGTACAAATTTCAACGGAGGATAATTCCCTCCCCCTTTTTTTAAAGGCCAGGTTTCAGGGCCTATATATCACAATTGTGGCAAGAGTATCCTATATTCTAACGTTTTAAAAGGAACTTCTTGAACTTTTCCTAACACCTTAAAATTCATTGGTCTACTTGGTAGTCATGCTCTTGGTAGAAATCCAAAGTTCATGTCTACAACGGTAGATTTAGGAAGGGAATTGATAAGGCGAAAAATTAGGCTTACCTATGGAAGAGGCAACGTTGGCCTTCAAGGAGCTGTTGCTTCAATAGTCTATACGAATGGTGGTATAGTTAGAGGCTTCATACTAGGGTACATAGCAGCACGACAGGTCTACGGACCTATATATGGTGCAGAGTACACCGTTTCCAGCAATTACTATATGTACTTCGAAATATATCATGTTGTAGAAGCTTTCATCATACTTCCCGGGGAATTGATACTATGGAAGGTTTGTTCACTTTGATCTCATGGGCATCCGAAGGGTTGCACAGTAAACCCATTACTCTCTTGAACATTGACGGCTATTTTAATAACCTAATCAAATTTCTAGATGACATGGTGAGGCAGAACTTCATGGCTTCCAGTCAGAGGAAACTTTTCATCTCTTCTTTCTTTATTGATGAGCTTTTAGACAAGCTAGCGTTTGCTAAAGCTTTCCCGGGTCCCGAGGCTAGTTATGACGAGTTTGTAAATCCTGGGGCATTGGACTTAGAGTTGCATTTGTAATATTACTTTATGTAATTTCAGTTGAATTTATGTTGGAATAATATTCTCCATGGACATTAATTATGAGTTAACCATAAATATTATTCTAAGCTGCATGGCCAGTGCAAGTCAGAAAAATATCTATTTTCAACATCAGAATGCATCATGTAAATATCAAACATTTTCTCAAGATGGGATATCCCCACATCAACCTAGTATCAAGTCTAAGGACAGGCCCACATCTAGGTAGGTGGAGCTTGGTCCGTGGCCTCGGCTCGGTCCTCGGGCTACTCCCCCCTCCTCGGCATGGGCCGGAGGACAACGACATGATGATAACAATGGGATAATAGGGACCAGGTGATAACGACAAGGTGAAAAGGACCGGACTATGATGATCAGGTGACGTCCGCTAGATGACAAGAGTCGGTCACAGTAATTGACTTAGTTGTATTGTTGAATCTATAAAAGGGCCAAGGCCCCCTCATTGAAAAGGATCTGAATCCAATTGCTAATAATACTCCTACTTTGCATTCTCTTTCTCTCTCTATATTCTACATACCTAGCTTACGTGACTTGCTCACCCCACTGTAGTTTGGAAAATTGGCATCAGATCAATACATCATCTATTTTTAAAACTTATTTCTAAAATCTCCGTGATTTCAAAATGTTGCACGCACACATCCTCTGATCATTTTCGATTCAGAGGGGACATTGGTGCCTATTTTCTAAACCATAGGGGGCGCTTCTCCTCATTTCTTATTTTTTGTTTATCATTTCCCCCCTTTTTTATGTATTTATTTCTTTTTCCAAGAAAAGTTTTCTAAATTTATTTTTATTTTTTAATACTACTTTTAAAAATTCAAAATTCTTTTTGTTTGGAATAAAAATAAAAAAATTAACATATACTACATCTATCTCTAATTAAACATTTTTACTTTTTTTATAATATTGTTTTGGATATGTTCATAAAGAAAATACAAAATAAAAAATAAAATTAAAAAACTGGGAAACCAAATGAAAAAAAGAAACATGAAAAAAAGAATATTATACAATAATGAATTTTCATAGCGCTAAAAATTCCTTAGAATTGAGATGTTCAAAAAGGAAATTCATTTTTATTTCATTTCTTATTTTATTCCTTATTTTTTGAAACTAATAAAAATTGTTACTTTTGGAAGTATTTTTTATTTTAAAAAGAAATTTAAAAAACCTTGATAAAAAACAAATAAAGGAAAACATGAGAAAAAAAATGGATTGGAAAATAAGCATCAATGTCCTGCTCTTCGCCGAAAAATGATTAGACGAGTATGGATGCAAGATGCAATATTTTGAAGCACAGGGACTTGTGAAATAAGTTTTAAAAACAGAGAAATATTGATACCTAATTTTCAAACCACGTTGGGGGAGATACTGCTGCTATTTGACCTATAGATTGTTATTGAATTGTATTTTAAACTGCAGCTATGTCTTGGTTGTGTTTTTCCACATGTTTCGGATGACGAATGAATTTAGCTGATTTCACCGGCAAGATGTGTTGACGAAATTTATACTTTTAAGTTATAAATTTTAAAATGTAATATTTTAATTTACAATTTTTAATTATAAATTTTAAGTTCTAAAATATTAAGATTAAACTTTTAATTGTTAATATATAATTTTCAATTTTTATTTTAAATATAAATTTTAAATTTTTTAAATTTAAAATTTTCAAATTTAAATTTTAAATTTTAAATTTTAAGTTTTAAATGTTAAATTCTAAATTTTAAATTTTAAGTTTTAAACTTAATGTATTAAATTTTGAATATTAAATTCCAATTTTTTGAAATTTTAACTTTATATAAATTTAAATTTTATAAGTTTAAATTTTGAATTTAAATTTCTACTCCTTAATTTTTAATTTAATTTTTAATTTTTTATGTTTTAAATTTTAAATTTTAGATTTTAAGTTTTAAATATTTAACCTTTAATTTTAAATATTTAATTTTAAGTTTAAATTTTAATTTCAAAATTTCAAATCTTAAATATTTATTTTTCAGTTTTATAGGTTTTATTCTTTTATTTTTTAATTTCAAAATTGAGTTTTATAGTTTAAATCTCAAATTTCAAATTTTAAATTATAGATTTTGAATTTTGAATTTCAAATTTATTTGTTTTATTAATTTTTACTTTTAAAAGTTTAAATTTTAAATTTTAGTATTTCAATTCTAAATTTTCAATTTTAAACTTTAGTACTACGTATTAAAACTTAAAATTTAAAATTTAAAATTTTTATTTTTATTTTGTAATCTTTAATTTGATTTACTTAATTTGTCAAAGTTTGTTATAGAAGTTAAAATTCAATCGAAAAGCTATTTTCCAATACACCGAAAGTTTATAAGACTTTTTTCTTTGTTATGATCCGAAAAGGATCCATATGATTTCATTTTGATCTGCTATCTGTAGCAATCAAATTCTGGATTTCAATATCTTCTGTTTTGTTATCGAATTGAAAATGTACAATTTTAATATTTGTAATTATAATTCAATTCTAAATCCACAATTTGTACTCCCAAATAGTAGAATCATAATTGGAGTCTCTACTTCCAATTCCATGGCGTGAACTCCATGTACCAAATGGAGCCTAAATGTAATTGAAAATCATTTCAACACAAGATTCATCACAAGCCCTCATGGTGTGTCATAGAACATGATGGTGTGCCAAATGCACACCGACACCAGCCAGACTATATATATATACATATATATATATATATATATATATATATATATATATATATATATATATATATACATATATATATATATATATATATATAGTCAAAGTATTGTATTACTCCTTGGCACTAATTTTGGCATTCTATTCATACTGTACAACAATGGCCTCCTCTGCTACCGTCCACCCATCATCTTTGCCACAGTTTCCTTCAGATGAAATGTCCCCACAGCTCTACAAAGATAATGTCAACATAATTGTGGTTATATTACTCCGTAGGAGTATATAAAGAAAGACCAAAACACCACAGACACAAAGAAACAACACAACAGCGTAACCGAGAGAAATCAGATCAAGTTAACAACCAAACCTGGGATCGTCATTGAAGTTACAAATAATTGCAAAACCTTGACAACAAAAAAACATGTAAACCAAATAATCAACAGTGGATGTTCTTGAAGGATTGGAAGAGATTGTGAAAAAGAGGTTGCGTGGTCTAATGGTAAATAATTGTTCATTCTGTTAAAATCCAGCTGTTAGGAGATTGTATTTTAAAACAAGTTTTAGCCAGTGTAGACTTTAAACGCATTAGTAGTAGTAGAATTATAAGGTTATGGGTAGGGAATCACTTTGTTAAAACTAAGTGTTTGAAGGTTTTTTTATACTACTTCGGGTATAGTTTTGTAGGGTTAGGATTCATCTATGATAGGGCGCAATGATGTCGTTTGATCCATGTAGCCGACCCCACATAGTGGGATAAGAGACGTTAGACAAAAGTGAGATTTTCATTTTTTGTACATAATATGGCTAAATAATAAGTTATTGAAAGGGAAAAAACTCAAAGATGGCTATTTTTATGAAATTTAATAGTCATATATCGATATACAAAGTGAGTATATGAGTAACTAGTTAAACCTTAAAAGCTCTTCAAAATAATTCAAATTTTTTAAAAGAGGTTTTCACCCGACACCACGCGTACCTCATTTTGAATTTAAAATACATCACATAAGAAAGGAGTTAAAAAGACAAACCTTGGAACACGTATACACAATTAAAGTCACCCAGTTCCATTTATCCACAGATTGCTTCAGTTTGTCACTACAAGCTTCATGTAGAAAATATAACAATGGGGGCATCAACTGCATTTCATAGTGCCTAGATCCACCACACAACCTGCATTTCTCAGGATCACACTTCTCTGCAGAAGCATATAGTGGCTTTCCGCCATATGAGTATCTAGGTGCGATGGGGAAGAAAGGTAAAGGAAAAGTAAATACAATGCTTCATATTATAATACCAAAAAAATTATTCCATTGTTAGACATTGGAAGCTAAATAAGAAAGTGGAATTTAACACAATATTTCATAATGTGACAAGTTGCACATTATATTTTTATTGAATGTAAAACTTTCCTACGTCATTTCAAGTGTTGTCCAATACAAATTTCACTCAAATCCAGAGTTCTAGACTGAGCTTACATGAAAGAGACTCCAAACTTATTACCTGAAACATTGCTGTGGGTATGCATCTATTCGCTTTTTGAATTTAAAGAAAGTCCTGTCTACATTCAGTGCACTGTCATATTCATACTTCTCCTCTTCCCACACTTCATCATTTGAATTACCAAATTCAACATTTCATTCAATGATATAAGGCAGTGATTTTTTTGAGAACTTCTCCTCCTCCGCATGTATATAGAAACAAGGAATCACTGCATGTAATACATCACATTAGAAATAAGTATTTCCAGTTGAATAAAATTTAAAGGGAAATGACTCACAAATCCATCTCTAATTGAAATTAGTAAGGTAATTCGCCAAAAAGGGAGTACATGTGAGACACTTTAAATCGTTGACATTCTATTATTTATGATAAGCACTTCTGGTTCCCCGTTTGATTCATTGGCTATCTTATTTCCTAAATGGGCAAACAAATTGCAAAATAAGTTAGTACAGATATTTCTCGTTTACTTTTTTAGGGGAAATGCACCATTTTTCCATTTCCTAAATTTGCAAACACATTGCAAAATAAGTGAGAAGTACAGTTCTTTCTCGTTTAGTTTTTAAGGGAAAAGGCACCATTTTTCCTTTGCATATCATTCGAGGAGAAAAGCTACCTGGTTTTTTCCCATCAACTACTAGAGATGTGTGGGCTAATAACAACGGTTTTGCATTACGTTCATGATCGCGAATTTTCTTCTTGGAATGAGAGGCCAGGCTAGCAGCCTCAGAAAATGCCCTACTCAATTCTTCCAAGTCTATATCATTTTCAGCATCCTCCTCTTCAGCAGAATCAAAACTCCACAAATCCTTTTTCCAGTCATTATTTGTAGTGGAAACAGAAAATTCAGGTAAAGGGGCAGTATCATCATCAGAGGGGAATTTTGATCCTTCACCACTAACAGGTTTCTGAACTCTAAGAGCTCTCCAGCTATATGGAAAGCAGAATGTATAAAACAAGTACATCTAATCAGCACAACAACTACATCATTTGCTTAACTCTATGCTGGAAATGGAATTGGATTTTAAAACACCTTGCGGGTGTGCTCCCACATTTTGATGCAGCACAACCAAAAATATAAATTACCCGTTCTTCAATACTAATATGATTTTTTGAAATAGGAGCATAAACCTGAGTATGCAAAATGAAAGATGAGATAGCAAACAAAATATTAGCATCTGTCATGGATTGGGAAAAAACGATAAACATCTCAGCAATAAAACAGCTTCAAATTGTATAACCTGTGCAAGGAGACATAGACTGTTTTTACAAGCACTGCACTCAAGCAGATGAGACCTTATTGTGCTAACCGAAAAAGGCCAGTCCTAGCAGAAAGAGGTATTTCATATCTTTACGTAAGAAGGAAAATCAAAAATAAACACAGACATTCATTGAATGATTTAAATCTATAATTTCATATGTCCTTACTGGAAGTCCACCAATTTTTTGGTGTAATGATCAGCTACTTCATAGATATCATCAGCCCATGGTCCTGGCATGCCTAAAATAACTTCATCCATCCTTTTGATGTTAGTTACAATTCTTTCGATCAAGTATCAATGGTGGCCAAAACAATTTAACTATAAAAAAAATTTCCCAAGTTAGAACAAAAGGAATTATGGTCTCATGAACATCAAATTGTTGTTCTAAAAAACAAAAGGAATTATGGTCTCAAGGAATCCATCTACATGTCACGTCAATTGCATACTGATGGACTAAAAAAAGTAAGCATTAAAAATTGAAAACTTATGCAATAATATCATCAAAAGCTAAACAAATTTGCAATTTACATATGACAACCTACAAGTCAACTTCTGAAAACTCCACTGGATAAAAATCTTCCATTCTTAATAGTTTAGCACTGTCAAAAGACTCAAACGAAGAACAAGGGCTTGAACATGCAACACAAGTTAACAACTCAGTGCTTGCTACGGCAAACCTGCTCCTAAGCTCCTCACCAAATCTATCAATGATCTCAAATAAGCAACCAAACTTATAATGATGCAAAATTGTAATGATTGGAGCATTGCGTGCACTCTCATTTTGCTTCACAATTGAAGGACCAATACTTTGTTTTTCATCCATCAAATCTTTACATTTTAGAACAGAAATAGAATGTGGACTTTTAAGTCTACCCTCATGAACGCCACACTTGTCCTTTTTACTCCAACCTTTAAATCCACTTCCCACAAAATGGTCTCCCCCAACATCACCCACATTTTTAAACAAGTAACATGGAAAACAATATGCAACATCCTTGGCAATACTATTATACTCCTTAAACCAAATTGGAAGAAATTTATGGTTCTTTTTAGACATTACCATAATGGGAAGTTATGACTTCGCGGTTGGAAAGAACCCTTTTTTAGATAACTACAACATATTTCACCTTGTACATTTGGATGATAATCTGTAATTCTCTTTCTTAACCCCGAATCAGCGTCCAATGATTCAAAATCTAAATTCTCTTCCATTGGGTCAATATGTTGTTTTGGTGGGCAATTTAATCATGACGAAACATTTGATGTCAAATTTAATGGATTCTCACTCGGTTCTTTGTATTTCAATTTGGTGTTGTTTCTAAAATACTTTTGCATCCATATTTCAATTAAAATAATTAAAAACATTATAAATTTATAACATAATCTAAACATTTGACATACTCAAGTCACAATTCACATAATCACATATCATTTAACATGAACTTAATTCACAAATAACTAATTCAAAAGAGTAAATTTGCAAATCACAATTCACAAAGTTAAATTTGCATTAAATAATACTAAAACATGCCTTTTCTCAATTAGTACCTATATTTTTTATTCCTTAAATAGTACTAGAATATTATCTCGTGGCGATGACACTTACTATGAACAATGTCTAATAGCGGTGGACATTTACTTGTAAAATGTCCAATGGACAATATCAAGGAACCAATTCAACCAAAAACTCAAGCTTGTGAGTGTTGCTCAAGAAATATTTCTAATATTTCAACACGCCCCCTTACGTGCAGACGTATTTCGAGTCTTGCACATAGAACCTAATTTTCGAGCCTCTTAGTCGACAAGGCTCCAATAACATGTCAAAGGAACCAATTTAACCAAAAACTCAAGCTTGTGGTTGTGGCTCAAGAAATGTTTCTTATATTTCAACACACAATGAAAAGTGGTACTATATTGAGAAAAAAACATATAATACTACACTAAAAAATCATTATGTTTTAGTACTATACTACTATATAGGTAAATTCCTCATTCACAAATTCAATTCACATTCAATAATTATTTATAAAAAAACCTGGCAGAGTGAAGAATTGAAGATTCCGATCGGCGTCGTGGCGAGCAGGAGGAATCGGCCAGAGACTCGACGCCGACGGTTGTCGAAACTGGGGCTGTCGGCGGGACGGCTGGCGGCCTTTACTTGAGAGTTGAGACTCTAGTCGTCCGTAGAGTGGTAGACAGCTAAAATAGAAATTGGGAATAGCAGAGTAGGGTTATACGTTTAAAGGAAAAAAACACAATACGACGTCTTTTTAGCATTTTAAGTAATAAACTGTAGAAAACCTCCTAAATTGAAGTAATTAATTAAATTCCTCTAAATAAAAGTACTACGTAATTAATTAAATTTTGTTTTCATTTACTTTTCCACACAAAGCAGACCACGTCTTAGCCTTGTGCGATCGAAAAGTCACCCGGCCCATTCTCAATCTCATCTTTCTTTGGTCTCTTTCATTCTAATCTTAGTTGATGACACTGTCAACCTAATTTCAAGCCCCTCTCCGCCGCTACCATCTCCTCTATGTGGCAATGATTCCACCGCACTCTCCATCATCTCCCTTTCTCTTTCATACACACAATCTCTTTCTACCTCTCTGCAACATTTCCATTTTCTGTTGCTCGGATGCCTCCGTTTCCTTGGGTAACTTTGAATTTAATTTAATATTTAATTTGACATGAGTAATTTATTTACTTCTTAGGGAATTATTTTATAAAATTGGTACTAATTCTTTAGCCTTGTGTGAGTTTGAAACTTTGAATTCAATTTTATACTCAATTTCACATAAGTTGTGACATTTGATTTTAAATCTAAATTTAATTCTTAGAAAACTATTTTGTAAAACATATATTGAAACTTAAGGATTTTTGTGTTGGAAAATATAGTTTCTTGATGTTTAACTTTTTTGAAATTATGCATTAACATATGTGTGATATGTAACATTATACATTGACATATATATATTACCAAGTGTGGCACTATACATTGTCATACTTGACATTATCTCTTTGTTTAACATTATGTATTTGCATGTATGACTTTACACAATGACATGATTGTCATTATGCGGTTACATGTGGCGTTAAATGTGGTTTTGTTTAACATTGTATGGACATTTTACTTTAGCAATTTTTTGAGTTTCTATTTATTGCTTAAATTTTTTTGACATATATCTATAAAGTATTAATCAGGTCTCATAGATTTATTGATTAAGAATTTTGGCATTAAGTGTGATCTTGTTTGACACACTATGGGTCTGAGGTAACATTTAAAGGTAATGTTTATCAAGTTTCCTTTTCTTCTTCTTAAGATTGCCAAATGAGACTATTTAAGTTGTTTTAGGATACACGTAAAAATATTCAGGAGCAAGGTAGAAATATCTGTGTTTGTCTGTGGACTGAGTTTTGGGTGTGATTTTGTTATCGTCCCTTAACGATATTTTTAAAAGAATCATTTATTGACAATATTTTAACTTTGGGTAAAAAAAATTAGTCCACTTAGTGGGTAGCCGTTATTTTGATAAAAAATAAATACAATCTCCTATTTTATTTGCTAACTCGAAAATATAAACTATTTGTAAAGTCAACTTTTTAATTTTAAAATTAGGTAATTGGGTTGATCTCGTAAAAAAGTGACCAACAATATATAATTTGTTAAGTTTAGATTTTGGTGTAAAAAGTTATAAGCGTAATAGATGTTACAGTTCAATAAATAAATATAATGATTTTATAATATAATAATAATAAATAAATAATTTCCTAATCGATTCCTAATTCATACCCATAACTCCAAGCCAATGCTCATTCCTTCCTTAAGTGTATAAATACACACGCGTGCAAGAAAAGAAAAGAAAAGGAAAAGAAGGGAGAAGAGAACCGTAAGAACTATAGAGTGACAAAATTTAATTAATTACTCCTATTTAGATGAGTTTAAGTTTGATCTCTACTTTGAGAATATGACATAACTTTTACTCCTAGTTTGCTCATTCTCCCAATAAATTTTTCAAAAAGAGAGAAAAGGCTAAAGTAAGAGTAAAGTATTGAAAATATATAAAATAAGAGATGTTTTTATTTTTGAAATAGAATTTAATATGCGTTTACATTAACAAACATGATCATGTACATTATCAAAAAATATAATAATATGCACATGCACTGCAGTGCCACAATACCATAGTGTGAACTCTTATTTAAATAATAAATAATGAAACTCATATTTTGGTACTTTTTCTATGTTTTACTCTTATGGTGGTTTCTTAAAACAATACTCCAAGCAATTCTGGACCTTTGTCTTCCAGGCATCGAATGTTGATTCCACTCGGGCCAGTGGCTACTTATCTAAGCTTTTCTTACCCCTTGTATTACAACTTATATTACAAGTATCACACCTATGTGTTGCATGACTCCGATTTATATTATTATGAACATAATTGATGTCATTATTGAAAGAAAGAAACAGATCATATAATAAAATACTCCCTCCGTCCCAATTTATAGTCAATATTTTGGTTTATGATGTTTGACTGAATTATTTTCAAAACATTTTATATGACAAATGGTATAGAGTTTAAAAATAAAAATTACATATTAAAATACTACATCAAAAGATCTACAAAACTAGTGGTGACAGTAGTACTTTACTTTATCAAATTGCTAACGAAAATAAAGAAAGAAAGTGAAAGAAGTTTGACCATCTGAATAGTGAACAGACACTATAAATTGGACGGAGGAAGTATATGGTTTTCTATTTTCTTAAAGCACTAATATCCTATAAATTACAAACTTTGGGAAATTTTTATAAATTACATTACCAGTAATTTTTGTGGAAACATTCTTTCTGTCGTATATAAGATTCTTCAAGTCGTTACGTTTTAATTGCAACATATATTTGTTTATGACTACATACTAGTTTTCATAACAATTTTCTCACGCACTACTACAGAAAATTACTTTTTGTATAAGTTGTTTTTATCTTTTAAATCGGTTAACAACCGATGTAAAAGGTAACGATGCAATTGAAGTAAATACTTTTGCTTCGATTGTTCAATCGATTCGAAAGTTACCCCAGAATAGGCCCCAGTTCTCGAAAGCACCTTTTGAATCAGTTGTTTAGAAACAACGATTCAAAAAGTGCCTCCGAGAATAGGTGCCAAATTTGTAATAAAGAAAAAGAAATACACATATTATAAATTTAAAAAAAGTGAAATCATTTAAAAAAATTATTATAAAATCATATTTTATAATAATGTAAGTATAAAGTGAAACCAATTGTAAACGACAAAAGTAATTAAAAAGATTAAACACACAAATATTTTTTTTGGAAGACAAAAACAATAAGTACAATAATGCACATTTTTTAGGATAATAATGCACATATATTAAACACAAAAATAAGTAAGAAAATTATGGTTTTAAATAAAGAAAAATAAAAAAACCTATGAGTTATGGATAGAAGTGGAGGCGGTGACGGATTTGAGGTAGCGAAAGCGTGGAGGACGGCAACAGAGAAGGAGAGGAGGTGGCGAACCGAAACTAGGTGGCGACAGCGAAGGACAGACGGCGTGGATTTTAACGGGGTGTAAGAGGAGGAGGCGGTGACAGCGACAAAGAAAGTGGTGGATCCTAGTGGCGACAGTGGCTCGAGCAACGACGCACAGTGAAGAAAGAGAGAAGAAATGAGATCGCATAAGTAAGATTGGGTCTTAGTGGTTAATTTTAAAACAATCTTTTGAATCAGTTTTTACTAATAATTGATTTAATAGGCTATTGAATCGCTTATTACTAACAACTAATTCAAAAGGTTATACTCATTTGGATCTGTTGTTAATAGTAACCGGTTCAATAGGCTATTGAATCAGTTATTACTAACAACTGACTCAAAAGGTACTGGTTGGGGAAAACGAACGCCCCTTTTGCACCAGTTTTCTCTTTAATCGATGCAAATGAGGTAGTCGATTTGACCTTTTTGTACTAGTGACGTATTTTAGAGATTAAAATTGACTCTTATTAATCGTCATTGCATATGAAGTCACCACATGAAAGGAATTGTGTTCTTTGGAACTTGAATGATATTTTAGTATCAAGTGCTGTCAATGATAGTCTCACCCATTAGAAGAGGAGATAAATTTTTATGGAAATAAATCAAAGCCTCCGAGAGGCGTGCGCCCCAGCCCCGGGCGCATGCTTGTGGGTATGATGATTCGAATCGGTGCAAAATCAAATTTTCGGTGGAGGACCCAATCAAACAGAAGCCCAGGCGTGTGCCTCGGCTTCAGGCGCGCGCCTAGGCTTCCGGAATGCCTATATAAGTGGCGCTTCTCCCTGCCATTTCATTCATCCTCTTCCACAACTCTTCATTCACTTCTCTCTAGTTACGAGATTTGTTAAGAAATAATTTCTTATTCATTTTGGGAGTTTCAAGTCAAGATCTGTTCAATTCTACTTTTTTGGAAGTTGTAAGTTTTCTGTAATATTTATAAAAATGTTATGTTATTTGATTTGTGTACATTTAATTGTTATCATGTCTGCTTAAATATTTTAGGAATGTGAATTGAAATAGGGTAGTAGGTATGTAGGAAAAATAATTAAGTTGGAATATTAAATTTATTTAATTAAAATGCTAAGTTGCTAGTAATTGTGGTAATGTTATAATTAATTTATCTGGCCAAATCGTTAATTAATACTTGAAAAATTATTATATCCATTTGTCTATGAATGTGAAAAATAGTTTAGTCAACCAATACTAGCACATTAATTAAACCTAAAGATTGAATACAATTAATGGAATAGTTGTGACTGATAAGTCGTTTTTGGGTTAGTTCTTTTTATTCTTTTTTAGGCATTTTTAATATTTTAGAGTTTAATTTTTAGTTGTTTAGCTTAGTTTTATTATAATTTTCATTTTTACATTCATTTTATTTTCTTTCATAAATAGTAGCTTTTTAATCATTTTTTTACATTCTATTATTTTTATTTTATTTTTCCTAACCCAAGTTATCAGATATCTTATTTGTAGAGAAAAGTGTAGCAAAAGACCAAATTGAAGTTCAAGTCTGAAAAGAGAAATTAATTTGGGCCGGAGTCCAAATCCTACATTGACAAATCAAGAATGAGCCCATTACTCCTTCCCCACTCCTCTTTAGTTTCACGCAAAAAAAAAAGAAGTGAGAAACATACTTTTCTTCTTC